TTTGCCACTTGGAGCTTCAGGCCTCTCATCTGCAGAATACGGCATGGACATATCACGTTCTGAGGCCCCCCAGCATTAACGAAACTCTTCTTCCATTGGAGAATTGACGTCATGAATTCTTCCTTCTCAGGTCAGTGGAGCCAGGCGCTTGCTTTCCCAGGCAGCTTCGATCAGGCAGGGGCATGGGTCTTGGGCTCTTCCAATCAGATGCGCTAGGACTAGACTTCACGCTGCGGAGAGCAGTGTGAGGGAGTGCAGAGTGTGGCACCCATTTTCCCAGGAGACACTGGTGGAGGGGGGGTCACAAGACAGAGTCCCCTGACAGTGTCCAGGGCCTGAGCTGCTGTGATCTGACACAGTGTGGCTTGGGTGGTTCTGGGCTTCCTCGTTTCCAGGCCATGTGCTACCCCTAGTCCATTTGGTGACTTTGTGCAAATTAGACAATTAGGCACCCCTTCAAGATGCTTTACTGCCCTCTGCTGGAAAATTGTTTGTATACAAATGTACCAATATGTCTAGGGCTTGAATGGCAGCCTCTACATGTAATGGTGTTGTGCAGTATGCAACCTGGACAACTGATCTTCGTGGCTCTGCCGGCCTGACTTTCTTCTGGCTCTTGTGAAAATTCTGAAAGAGACTTAATTTCCTGTAGTAAATGCCTTTTCTACTTAAGCTAGCTGAAGTGGCTTCCGGTGTTTGACGAAGAACTCTGACTGATATGAATAGGGATGCTGATACACGCCTCCTGGGGTTGAAACCAGATGACTTGTGGACGCAAGAGTCTCCGAGAAGGCATAAGGCACCTGCGTTACTCAGTGAGTTTATACTTCATTTATTGTGAGAGGAACATGGGAAAATGATCTAATTCACTCTATCTTCCTTCCTTATTCTGGAAACCTATTTGTTTATTCTTTTGTTTTTGTTGTCAGGGTCAGAGTTCATGGTTAAAGAGGGGAGCCGCAAGGATGAAAATGTGAGTGTGCGTTATACATATTCCAGCAGGGTGACTTCTAGGGAAAATGGCTTTGCTGGGTCTTGCTCATGCACTGTTGTGTCTCCTATTGTTACAAGGAGAGATGACACCAGCCTATGCACCATTTGTCCGGTGGCTGAGTGTGTGTGTGTGTATGTGAGTGTGTGAATGTGTGTGTGTGTGTGTATGAGTGTGTGTGTGTGTGTGTGTGTGTCTGGCTGCAGATAACGTGATCAAGTTCCAGGTTTTCCAGGGCAAATTTGAGATGTTTTGTTTTTATATATCAGGCCCTTTCTGGACCCATATGTTTTGGTTTAGGCCACGTGGGCACTGCCACTCAAGGTCATAGCAGCCTCTGTCCAGGGTGTGCCAAGAAAAGGAGTAGGATCTCCCCAGGGAATCCTCCTTCCATCATTTTATGGAAATGCCTGTCTGTCTCAGTCCTCAGCCTTCAAACCTGAAAGGAGTGAAAGGTGAGTTGCTTGCTTCCTGCATTCCCCATCCCTTTCTGAGCCAGGAAGTGGGATAAGGGAGGGATGGGCAGGAGCTGCGAGGCTGGTAACTGTTCAAGGGTGCAATTTCAAGGCTCCTCTGCTCAGAGAAACCAGGCTTGTTTGCTGCTGGCAATGTGACAGTGCTTTGCTAAGGGGCCTTTCTTTCCACCTTGAATGAGGAGTAGGGGTGGCAAAGGCCAGGAGAGGGAGCCATTGAGTCACGTTCACATTTAGTGACTCCTTTCAGGTCAGGTTTGGACAGAGGGGAGGACAGAGGGAAAGGGTGTCTATATCCGGAGGGGTAGTTGTGTTAGGAAGAGGGACTTAGGAGCAGAGAAAAGAAAGACACAGGGGAATTGGGGAAGGGGGTTCACTGGATACAAACCTCCTCATTCTGGAATTTGTCCCAGGATGTCCCAGGTCCCTGGAGGTCCCTTGGCATGAGTGTTGCCTGGCACTTCCCTCCCGTGGGGCCCCCACCCCCACCGGCTCGTGCTTCCAGCTGGGGGACTAATCCTGATGCCCTAATGAAGTCCCAACTTCGCCCACTCTCAGAGGGGAAAGGCCACGTACAGGGCACCCGGCTGTGCCCTGTTCTGGAAGCGCCCCTTACATGCTGGTTGCCCGTTCTGCAGTGAGCTCAGAGGTCCCTCAGGGAGGAAGAGCTGTCCAGACCCCAGGAAAGGAGGAGTGGGGTCTGTAAAGGGCTCTGTCTTTCAGGAAGGGGCAGACCCTGGGTCAGATAAAGGCCTGAGACAAGGGTCTTACTTCCCGTTGGGTCATTACTATTCTCTTGTCACATGTTTGGGGACTCTAAGTAAGAACCATGGCTTTTCTATGAAGTCTCCTTCTCTGACCCCAACTTGCTGCAGGTGACTGGTTTGGGGAGAAGAGGGCCGGCAGCCCTGGGCCACCAAGCTGAGTTTTGTGAACCTGCCCAGTGCTTCTTTTTCACTCGCCACCCACTCCCTGTGGCATGGTTCTTCTTCCACGGTCGTATGGCGGATATGTATTCACCTTTTCACAAATTAGATGGAGAGAACCCTGGAGACTCTCCTCTCCAGTATCCTTTTTTTTTTTTTATTTTTTGATACAGGGTATATCGCTCTGTCACCCCAACTAGAGTACAGTGGTGTGATCACAGCCCACTGTAACCTCAAACTCCCAGCCTCAAGCAATCCAATCCTTCCTCCTCAACCTCCCAAAGTGCTGGGATTACAGGGCTGAGCCACTGCGCCCGGTCTCCAGCATTCTTGAGAGGCAGTGCTGAACTCTTGTGCTGACTGAGAGCTCACTCCTTCACGAGGGACCTTGTTCCGCTTTAGGACAACTCCAGATATTAGGGATTTCTCTCCTTTTTTTGGGCACCCAGTTGCCTCCTGGAATCGCTCTCCTATTGACTCGGGTTGGCTAAATTTTTGGAGAAAACTTCCCCTCCCCAACACACCTGTAGAAGTTCCAAGGCCTGTTTGAATGTGTCCCTTAAGCCTTCTTCTCCAGGTAAGCTGTGTGTGTTTCTTTGGCCTGTCCTCGGAGGCCTCATTCTACTTCCTTCACTCCTCTTCCCTCCACTGAAGGCTCCTTTGCTATCAGGAGCTCCCTTAGCACCTTGGAACCCCAGGGGGCAGGTCACACATGGCCAGGCTCCATAGAATTCCCACCTGGCCAGGGCTAGAAGGAGATTTTACTCACAGAAGATCAGGAGCACCCAAGGGTCAGGGCCCACTGGGCCCAGTTCCCTACCCCTTCTCCATCTTCTCCAGTGTCCACCTATGTCACTCAGTGGACACTGATCCCCAGAATGAGGACCACATGATCCTAGAATGGCCGAGCTGAGCAGAATCTTGACGAGCAGCTGGCCTTGCATTTCTTGCACTGGGCTATGCTTACCCTGAGCCCTTAGCCATGGGCTGGGGGCCTCCCAAAGCTGTAGGGTGGCCAAGAAACACTTTGACTTCACTAGAAGATTCTGGGGAAAAGGCAAGTCACTTAACTGGCAAGTTGATCAAAACGATGTTTTTATATTAAGACAGATGCGTATATGTTATGTAATAAAATGCAGAAACATGAATTTCAAAGCCAAAACAGGAGACTTCAGAGGTTTACACTACAGATAGGTTCCTTTGGGCTATTTCTTTAGTGTTCTGTCCCCAATTTGCCAACCAGCTGGCCCCCCACTGCTGAGGGCTGTTTAGGTGGAGAACTTCGAGAACTTCGAGAAGCTCTGATTACTCCATTTCCTTTATTACTAGAGGTGAGGGAAGTGAGGACCAGAGTGGAGGGGTGATTAGACTGAAGACACACAGCTTGGAGGAGTCCAGATTGGAAACTCAGATCTGTTCTTTTCTCTGTACCAAGAAACGCTGCATAGAAGTTGCCTACTATGGCAAGAAAGGAATCAAAAATAGAAAAGAGGCTCCGGGTTGACCCTTGGTTATCCAGAGATACAACTGGAAGAACAATGCTACCAAGAGTCTGGGCTGTGGGTTGTAAGTAGCGCTGACTCCATTCAATGACAGAAGTATATTCCTTTACCTTAGGTCCTTTTAGGATTTAATGTTCTTTGGGAAAGAGGCTCAGGTGAAGAAGGGAGGAGAAGCCCAACGCCAGCGCCGGGAAGTGAGAGGAAGAAGGCCCAGAGAGCAGTAGGGACAGCCGGAGCCCACTCCGGATATCAGGCTGGGGAACTGGTAGGACTTCCCTTGCTCACACACCCTGGGGTGCAGCTGCACACGTGTGTGAACACACACACATACACGCACACCTCACACTCAGGCCCACCAATGCCGCAAAGCTTAAGATCCAACCATGCCTTACAAAGCTGGAATGTAAGAGACTACTGAGAATTGAGTTCTGCCCTCCCGACCATGAAACACCCCTGGATAACTGAAACGGCAATTGGAAGGGGGATTCAATCTTACCAGGCAAATTAAGCAAGCATAGCTCACTTTTACTCAAAACGCTGTCCTTTAAAATATTAAATAAGGGTCAAAGGTTTTGTTTTTCTTTGTAAAGGTGTCTTTGACATTATTTTAAGTTTATGACACCCAAAAGTCAAAAACCTTAAGACTGGCTTGTTGCTGTCCTGTGAACTTTCAGAAGTCACATCTCACAGAAGTGCGACTCTCGATATAATTTAATCAAGTCAATTAATACTGTTTAATAAATAGGCCAGAAAATTAGCTGCGAGTTTTTCTCGGCGGGATGTGGCGTGCGACCGAAGTTATGGAAGATTGTCCCTTGAATCACTAAGGCAAACTTTGCTGAGTGTCATTTTACATAGAGCAATCACATAAAAAAAGAGTTATAAATAGAAAAAATTCCAAAGTTCTCCCACAGACAGACAGGGAAATCGAAACATCAAAAAAAAAAAAAAAAAAAAAAAAAATTGAAGCAAAACAAAAACACAACCACCCCTCCCCCGACAACCCATTTGCTTCAAGTTCTTGATCATACAGTACTCAACATCTTTGGATATTTTACAATGTACAACTCCAAACTGCAGCCAAGAAAAAACAGAAAGAATTAACCAGTCATCTGAAAAATTGAGTTTATAAGAAGTCATCACCTTTACAAAATAAAAACAAAAGCCCCAACACCACTGGATTCCAATTTATTCATGTTTCCTTTTTTTTTTTTTTTTCCTCTCTTTTAAAGTCTGGTTCGGCCCCAATCGCTTGGCTGATGGGGGGGACACGGGCACATTGGCTGGTGGACATGAGCATGCTTCTGGGGCAAGTGTCTGAAACGAAGACAGGAATCTGAGAGGCGGCTACAGGAATCTGAGAGGTGGCTGCCCAGGCAGATGACTTCTGAGAACAGAGGGCGTGTGTAGCAATCCTGCTGGCTGGAGTGGCATCCGGTGGTGCGAAGAATCAGGGGGTCTCTTCCGGAGAGCTGTGAGAGGGACAGAGTCTGTGCTCTTCTCTGGCCTTTTTGTTTGTTGTGTGTTTGCTCAGGAAAAAGCCAAGGCGACAGGAAGAGCTGAAGTCTCTTTGTGCCCACAGCACAGAGATTGGGGACTCCAGCCCTGGGCCCTCCCTGGGGATGAACCCTCCTCCTCTCTGGGCTGCTAAGAAACCAAAGCAAACTCAGCAAGAAAAGAGAGGGAGGGAAGGGGAGAGAAGCTCAGGAAGGCACGGGGCCAGCAGAGCCTTCCTTTTCAGGACCTGTTGAAAACTCAAGAATCAGGAGAACATGTGACAGCTCTAACTCACAGAGCCCTTCAAACCTCAGAGGCCTCCACTTCTCTGCACTGAGCCCTTTTGTTAAAAAAGGGAGCCAAATACTCCTACTTCACCCCCAGAGGGAGGAGGATGGGGTTGAGGGGGTTCTCACACAGCAAACGGGACCATCGCTAGCAATGCCAAGGCCCTGAGGAACCCACAACTCAAAAAGCAAACAGATAAACCCTAGAAAACCTACAGGTATGTATTTTCTCTGTTTTCAGGAATCAGGGTGAGGGGAAACTGTTGCCAGGTGTTAAGAGGTGGCCCCCATCTCTTCGATGTTGGCCCTGAGAGCCCCAAGACACTGCACAGCCTTGGAAGGGGCATTGGAGATGGGGTAAACACTAGTGCCACCAGGGGTCCAGACACGAACAGCGGCCTGCAGGGAAGGTAAGGTAGCATTCGGAGTTCGCAGACCTGCCTGTGGGCTTTGGTGAAGTTCGGAAGCTCCCCGGACCCCCGATCTCTGTCTAGTCTGGCCATATTTCTCACCTATGCTAATATGCTAATATAGAGCTGGATGTAATAAAACTAAGTCCAGAAAGATAAACTGTTTCCCCATGGACTTGGGGAGTACAAAGCTCCTACCCTCTCTGGGATTCTCTGGGGGGATAGGTGTGTATGTGTTTAGAGGTGGAGGGAGGAAACCTAAGTTACCAGCCCCTTCTATAGCCGGGTGACACTGAGCTACAGAGGGCTGACCTGTCAAGGTCACAGGACAGGTAACGGAAAAAATGGCCCTGGCCTCCCAGAGCCTGGTTCCTGACTGGTTCCAGGGGGCTTCCCTGCCAACAGAGCATTTCTTTCTATGTGGCAGGTGGGTAGTTCTCAAAAAGACCCCGGGGCCACTGGAGACTGGAAAATGAGCCCTCAGAGGAGTGTTGGCAGAGACTCTGCCACAGGGGGTGGGGCTTAACCAAGGTGCATGCCCAGCCCCTACCTCCTCCTGCTCCATCTGGCTGGGCACCAGGCCAACCACCCCCTGACCCCTCTTAACTCACCCAGCTCCTAAGTGCCCCTGGGCATCCAGTTCTGTGTGGCTTGGGCCGGTGCAAATTTCTACATGAGAGCCAGAGAGACAGCCAGGGAGGGAGGCCCGGGCTCCTGGTCTTTTGGGAAGAGATGCCCGTCTCAGAACAGCAAAAGGAGGCAGCTGCTTTAGGAGCCTGGGAAAATGCCATCACTGATAGTATTATTATTTTTTTCCATTTTCCCTTTGTGTTTTTAAAATGAAAAGTTCAGATCCATGGGGTGGGGGAAGAGCGGGCCTGGAGGGAGAAGGACTGGAGGGCTGGTGGGCTGGAGTCGACAGTGACCAGCCTAGTTGTTGGCTTCGGACATGGAGGCCACGTGGTTGAGGCCGGTGAGCCCAGGGAGGCCGGCCAGGCCCGCGGCCCACGGGTCGGGCAGCGGGAAGTAGGGCCGCGCCGCCGCCACGTTCTCGGCCAGTGCGAAGGCCAGGAGGCCCCCCGTGTTCCTCTCAGCCTCCAGCTGCGCGCGCCCAAACAGCTTCATCTGCGTCTCCTCGAACTGCCGCTCCAGCTCCTGCAGGCTCAGGGCGCCCTTGGGCGCTGCCAGGAAGTGCTTGGCGGGGCTGGGGCCCGGGAGGCACACGGCTGCGCCGCCCAGGTGGCCGCCCACTTCGCCCAGAGCCGGAGGCATCACGAAGGCCGCCTTGTCGGGGGCCGGGCCACCCGGCCCGAAGAGCAGGCTGGCGGCCCTCCACGCAGCGGGCTTGCGGCCGCGTCGGGGCCGCGCCATGCGGCAGCTCTGGCGCTTGATGTGGCGGTGGAGGTGGTCGGAGCGCGTGAAGCTCTTGTAGCAGAACTCGCACTGGTAGGGCCGCACTCCCGTGTGGATGCGCATGTGGTTCTTGAGGTCGTAGTTGTGCACAAACTTGGCGTTGCAGTGGATGCACAGGTAGGGCCGCTCCCCCGTGTGCTTCCGCATGTGGATTTTCAGCTTGTCCTGCCTGCAATGCAGAGACTGGCGGTCAGTTCCGCAGGGAACACCAGGAGCCATTCCTAACCTTCTGCTCCCCTTTCCTCCAGAACCAGCCGAGGCTCCCTACTGCCATGGAGTCAAACCCCAGAAATAGGTCCCATGCTAGATCTACCCTCAACTGCTGCCCCACCTTAAACAGGTATGGTTACTCACCTGGATTAAAGGGATGTGGAAAAAGCAGTGTCTGGAAAGTCCCACTCCCCTAAACTCCTTTTATATCCGAGCTCAGAGTCATGAAACTCCCACTCTATTAGGGGTTTATCTCACATACTGGGAAGACACTTCGCCAGAAGTCAGGGCTCTGACCTTAGTCCTCGGATAGTGCAGCGACTTCTGCTGATACCGGATTGCACTTTAATCTCACACCCACTCTCTCCAGGCAACCATATGCTTTCCCTCCAGTTCATCTATATGCTTTGGCCCAAAGTCCCTGGTCCCATCCCAGCCCCCGGGCTGTTGAGATCTGTCTGTGTTTGGCACTAATCTGGGAGGCTATAGAAGCTTGGGCACACCTTGTTCAAACCTCCTGCATGGTGGTTTCTTATCCTAAGCCTTGGGCTCTCCTCTTTGTCTGTAGACAATTTCAGGGTTTACAAAAGAGCCAGGCGCGAGAAGAATGCAGCCTAATCTAGGGCAAAACTTTTCGGGGTTTAAGTGGCATTATTCACAGATGAGGTATGGTGTAGGGTGGGGCGCCTGTGACTTTTGGGGGTCTGGGAGCCTCTGCGCCAGCTGCAGACCCACCACCAACTTGCTGGTGACTTCAGGTAAGTTACTTAACCTCACTGCCCAGAGCTGAACCTGGTGCCAGACATCAGTTCTCATTGTCCAGGGCTGATGGAAAGAACGGGGTCCTGTGTCAGCTAGATTCCACATACCTCCTGGTGGCCTTGACAGGAAAACTGACATCAGGGGGTTGTTTTCATAAAGACTGAGCATTGGGTAAACCAGCTTAAGCTGGCTGAGGTACAGGCAGCTGGGCTGCAAGAATTCCTCTTGGGATAATTCGCAGCCTTCCCCAATGGGGCCATACGGGCCAGGAAGCTCTGTGTCTAGTCTCCTACCTCCTCCCTGAAGGTGTGGCTTGTGTGGAGCATCTGCCTATAATTTCAGACTCTGCTTTGAGGTTAGAGCAGATGTGGAGTCCAGGTGTCCTCCCTAAGATGGCCAGATTTAAACCCTGTTTCACATAATCCCACGACATCAGGTGCAGGTCCTAGGCTCCTGGTGTCCCCTGGCCACTAGAGGTCTCACCAGCTCTCATTTTCAAAATGGTTCTCCAGGGGCAGAGCAGGAGAGAAAAGGACATTCCCGTGAACACTGGCAGGCACTGTGGGAGGAGGGTCAGAGAGGACAGACCGTCCTCCCACCTGTGCTCACAGGAAAGCTGGAGAGCCCCTGGCACGGGGGAAGGGAAGTGGGGTCACCCTCCTCCCTTCCACATCCCACTGCTCCTGCCTCTTCTCAAACCCACCAGCCACCCCTAGGCTACATGGTACTCTGCTGTGATATCCCACCCACTACCAGCATGCTGTGGTCTCTGTAACCCAGATTTCACCTAGATGATTGGATTTTTGAGGAGGAAGGGACCTCAGAGACCATTTAGGCCAGTGGGTATCAAACTTAAGGATGCATTCGAACCATAATCAGGACTCAATAAAACAGTGCTGGGCCCTACTCCTAGAGATTCTGATCAGTAGGTCTGGGATAGGGGAGAGGGACAAAGGATTTGCATTTCTAACCAGGTGCCACATGCTGGTGTTGGTGGTGGTCCGCGGACCCCATACTGAGAACCACTGGTCCAGGCAAAGCCTCCACTATGTAGGTGGACAAACAGGCCCAGCTGGGGAACTTGCCAAGCTCACCCAGAGGGTCATGGCAGGCCCGGGAGTCAAGGCCTCTTTTCTCACCATAGCACTGTGACGGTGAAAATGGAAGTGTCAGGTGCCTGTACCCCTGGAGTGATGTACCGTCCCAGTCCTGAGGGGTATGTCTTGGGCCTCCACAAATACCCCCAGGCTCTGGCGGAAACACTGATGCTAGGTGGTTGGTTGGGCTCCCTCACCAGGCCTAGCAGAGGGCTCAGCTCAGAATCAGCTAAGCGGGCTGTAAATGCATCATCTTATTGCTCCTCACCACAGCCTAGGAGGTAGGTTTTTTTATTTTTATTTTTATTTTTTTGAGACAGAGTCTCGCTCTGTCACCCAGGCTGGAGTGCAGTGGCACGATCTCGGCTCACCACAACCTCTGCTTCTCAGGTTCAAATGATTCTCCTGCCTCAGCCTCTTGAGTAAGTGGGATTATAGGCACGCATCACCATGCCCGGCTAAGTTTTGTATTTTTTAAAGTAGAAACGGGGCTTCATCGTCTTGGTCAGGCTGGTCTCAAACTCCTGACCTTGTGATCTGACCACCTCGGCCTCCCAAAGTGCTGGGATTACAGGCATGAGCCACCATGCCCGGCTGAGGTAGTTTTTTTTTTTTTGAGACGGAGTCTCGTTCTCTCACCCAGGCTGGCTTTAGTGTAGTAGTGCGATCTTAGCTCATTGTAAGCTCTGCATCCCAGGTTCTTGCCATTCTCCTTCCTCAGCCCCCCGAGTAGCTGGGACTATAGACACCCACCACCACGCCTATTTTTTTTTTTTTTTTTTTTTTTGTATTTTTAACAGAGACAGGGTTTCACTGTGTTAGCCAGGATGGTCTTGATCTCCTGACCTCGTGATCTGCCCGCCTCAGCCTCCCAAAGTGCTGGGATTACAGGCGTGAGCGACTGTGCCCAGCCAGGTAGGTTTTTTTTTTAAGTCACTATTACACATAATTAGTAGTACGAACCCTTAGGTCACTCTCAAACAATGGACAATATAAGTGGTAAATCTTCAAATGTCTTCCAAACTTCTCATTAGTGTATCTAAAGTAAGTCCCATTTTTGTGGCAATTGGTCCGAGTATGTAAGAAGTGCTGAGAAGGTGCCTACAATATCCTTTTATTGAACACCTGCTTTGGGCAGGTAAATACATGACTTCATTGACCCTGGGAGTTCATTATTTAGAGGCAAGGTATGGTGTAGAGATAGGGCCCCTCCAGGAGTCTGGGAGTCCCTGTTGTAGCTCCAGACCCACCACCAACTTTTTGGGTGGCTTCAGGCAAGTTATTTAACCTCTTTGTGCAGAGCTAAACCTAGGACCAGACATCACTTCCCATTGTCCAGGGCAGATGGAGGGAATCTGGGTTTGTGTGAGCTAGATTCAACACATTTGGTGTACTTTCCTCACTTGGACACAGGCAGAAAGGAAGCTCAAAGAAGTTAAGAGCTTCCCAAAGGTATCCAGCTGGTGAGGGGCAAAGGAACCTGAGGGGCTGCCTGGCTGTGGTTTGTTTGTAAGCTATTCTGGGGATGAGGAAGGATGGATTTTCACACCTGGGACTCCCAACCTGAGGCCTACAAGGACTGCTGCAGAAAGGGCAGACCAGAACAATCAAGAGAGGGTACCAGTAGCTAGCCAGCTTTCTGCCGCTGTGGCCAGAAGACTAGGGTATGCCAGTGGGAGGAACTCAGCCCTGGGCAGGAGCTTTCCCTAATGGAGACATTTGTGGGAATGGGGGCAAGGGGCGGGAAGAGTAGGCAAAGCTCATGAGAAGCCAGTTCTGGAAAAAACTCCAGAGGATCATCTAGTTTACCAGGCACACTTTACCACATTCTGATTCATGGTCTGAGTCAGTGGGCCCAGTAAGCTACACTATTAGCAGTACATGTCTCAGGACCTGGAAAACACTGATCTAATTACTTCCAAGATAAGGAAAGCAAGGACCAAAGAGGGAATGGTGTCCTAGGGCCACATAGCCTCCTTCTTTACACTGACCTTTCCTGTGGATACTAAGACATGTGCATTGGAGCTGGAGGTGGTGCCGGGTACGCTCCAAGAACTGGACCAGTTCCCTTCCCTGGTCTGGGCTTCAGTTTCCTGATCTCTGAAATGGGGGTTGGGCTGCATCCTTGGGGCCTCTAGTGCTCCATGAGTGTTTGCATCTGGGTAATGGGCTTCTACCAAATCTCTTTCTGGAGTCTGTTTGGCTGACTGGCTTCCTTGCCCCCTTCACATATTCAATCTACCTGTGGAAGCAGTGTGAATTTAAGCTGGAATATGTTCTAGCTGGAATCTCAGGAGCTGAGCTCTTAGTTACTTCTCTGTAGCAATGGAGGTCTGGTGGTTCCACTTAAAATTTCCCAAGGCCCCCTTGTCCAATGGCCTGTGTGCTCACTTACCCCTCAGCATGGCTTTCTGGGGTCTTTACAAGCTCACTGCCATCTCCTCTGCCAGCTTCCTGCCTGCCCCCCATGGTATACTGTCCCACACTCGGGGCATCCCTGCATCTTTGAACACCTGCAGGTATGAACTGGACTGCTGGTTCCCCAGTGCACAGCCCACCACATTACTGGGTGGATGCCTGGTAAACCCTGGTTCCTTCCCCGTGTGTGCATGTCTTGTGCTTGGACACTGATGTTCCATCCTTAGGGCCCTCCCAGAAGGTCAAGCCCAGAGCCAGGATGCCCCTTCCTCCCAGCCCTCCTCCTTCCAGCTCTCCTCCTCCCAGCAGTCCTCCCTGCATGTGGCATGGAGGGTTCTGGTACCTGCTTTGATGAGAACCTGTGGGATGCTCTTTCATACTCTGCACAACACACAATGAATGTAGATAGAGGGGAGGCTCACTGCATGTTTGGTGACTGACGAGAGGGGCCAATTTCAGAATTCCCTGACTACAAATCCGACATTCTCCCCTCTGGCCCTGGTCCCCTTGTCTGCCATCTCATTCCATCTCTCTGCATCAGGGACAGCCAAGGACACATGCATCCAAGCCTTGGTCTACGCGCCCGCTTCCAGCCTGGAGAGAGCTCATCGTCGGGAAAGTCGTGTGAGTCCTCATGAGCTCATTCCCAGAATCAAAGAAAAGGGCTGCGGGGCCTTGGCCTGAGGTCTGCGGCCTCCAGAAAGGCTCCCAATCAGGATAATGCTTTCCCAGCAGCCTCCACCCGGACTTCTTGTAACCCGATGGTTTGAGACACACTCTTCCTGCTACCACTGCTAATGCCATTACATTATCTTAATAGGGTTCCCAGAGCTGCCAGGAGTGGGAGGACTACAAACAGAGGGAAAACAAAAGCCAGGCTGCTGGCTCGTCTGGAGAGCAGGCAGCTGTGGGGGCACAGGGGTGGTCAGCATTCAGCTGGCACAGGAGGAGGCGGGTGGAGACTAAAAGGTGCAGCCTTCAGGGTTCAGCGGGAACCGGAAAGCATGCCTTGTCAGAGAGTGACTGCGGTGCAGAGGTCGTCCATCCCGCCCAGGACGGTGTGCCCTCCATGGGACCTCTGCTGTCTTTGGGCCAGTCTATTCTCATTTTGCAGTTTCTCGCCTCCACTACTGTCCCCATCAGGCATGGCTGGGGCACCTCTGGGAGCCAGGCTGCGAGAGGATGCAGGGGCTCCAGGAGATAGACCAGCCAGCCATGCTCTCTGGGAGCTCCTAACAGAAGGGCTGGGGGAGGCAGGAGTCTATGGTCTGCAATCAAGGACCCATGTGGTGGGAATTAAGAGGCGGAAGATGCAGAGGCTTTCACAGGGCCCAGGGCCAGGCCCAGTTGGCAGTGATGGCTGCAGATGGGACAAAAAGGTGTGTGGGGGGCCACCTGGGATGTCCATGGGCAGGGAAAATACCCACCAAGCACAGCAGTGTCCCTATGCATGAAGAACAAATGCTTTATCTTCCTGAGATCACATGCTCCCTGTTCTTCTAGGCCCGTCCTAGGCATCACCTCTGGCTGAACCCTGCCGTCCTAACCTTTGGCTCCTGGCTTCCAGACTTTCTGGGAAGAGAAGGGAAAGGGCCCCTGATGAAGAGGATCTGAGGTAATCTTGGTCCAGACTGCCTCTGTCCTATGACCTGGAGCTCTTTCTATGTCCCAAGTCAGACCTGAAAGGGACAGGAGGAGCTGCCTCTCTGGCCAGCACAGGCAGGAGCCTTTCCCAGGAGGAAAACGGTGTCTTTGAACTAAACAGAGGGAGTGCATAGGCAGAGGGAGCCCAAGTGGTTACGGGGTGACCAGAGCTAGGAAGGGACAGTGTGGGGCCGAAGAAATAGTTTTGTTGATGTCTTTGAGGCCCTGCCTAGGGAGATTTCATATTTGCAACAGATCAGTGGTGGGACACCTGGTGGGACTGGCTGAAATCTAGAGCTGCCTCAGAGGTGAGGTTCCTGACACCAAAGAACAGACAATACCATTGTGGTGCAGCCTCTGTCCCTCCTCTCTAGACCCACAGAATGACAGCAGCACGCAGGGTCTTAGGGGTGGAGGGGCTCTGCTGGAAGGATTCCCATGTCCTCCACCTTGGTTGTGGCTGCTGAGGTCATTAGGAGTACATCCCCGTGGGGTGTGGACATTCTGGGAGTTGGCATCTGGGAGGCTTTGACTCAGAGCCTGGGCTGAAGGGCTACCATGCAGGGCAAGAGCAGGCCTCTCCAGCACCGCACGTGGCGGGGCGGCGGGGGCGGTGTCACAGGACCCTGAGCTCTCCCCAGCATCAAGGAGGGGAGAAGCTCAGCTGTGATGAAGACTCGGGTTCCAGAAGGAGAAATCATGTCTGATAGGAGGACTTGAGGGCAGCGTGTCTGGGTCCTTGCTGTGGGGACAAGAGGGACACGGCAGGGCCCAGTCTCAGGAAGTGGCGTGGCCCTGGAAGGGAGTCTGGGAATTCTACGTCAACGAGGCAGCCGTCGCTGCTTTAAGTGGCTGCTGAAGCGCCTCCAGGTGGAAGGGGCAGGTGTTGGGAATCGCATCGGGGAATTCAGCCAAAAAGCAGGTCCTGGTGGGAAGGGTGCAGGGAGCCTTGGCCGCGGGGGGAGTTACAGGAAAACCTCAACCTGAACAGACCACTCTTGGGGCTCTTCAAGCACGGAAAAGAATCCTTGCCGGGCAGTTCCAGAGATGAGGTGAGAAGCAAAGGCCCAGTGATTCTGAAGAATGTGAGGGGGAGTAGAGTGGGGAGTGTCCCACCAGGACAGCCACAGCCCACAGTGAGCAATAAAGGCTCTGAAGTGAGGCAGGCTGGAGCCATCTCCCCCCAGCTCGGGGTTTCTCTCCTCCTGGGAAGAGAGGGACCCAAGAGCTTGTCTGATCTTTTTTGGGAGAGTCAGAGCCCAGTGGGAACAAGCGGCGGGGGTGCTGGGGGGCTGGAATGCAGCGGCTTCAGCTGGAGACAGGCCTGGGGCCAGATGGCCGTCATTCTGGAGCAGGAGTAACCCAAGGCCAGATGGCTGGATGACCAGAGCTGCCCCACTGCCTATCTGGCCAGGAGTGGGGACTGCAGACAGAGAGGCCACCCCAAGTGACCATCAGGAATGTGCTGGGAGGGAGGAACCTGGAATGTCACCCTCCTATACAACACAGCACTGCTCCCCAAGCCAGGAGGCCCCACTCCCAGAGAATGTCCCAGGGTTCAGAGGGTGAGAAGTCTGTCTGCAGTGACTATGCAAGGTCAAAACCTTCCCTTAAAACAGGGTGCACAGACTGTCCAGACCTGGCGTGGACTTCACAGAAGGCTGTGCGAGGGGAAGGCCCAGAGAAAAGGGAGTGGGGAAGGAAGGGAGATGGGGGCTCAGGGTGCCAGCGGGGCCACCATGTGATGTCCTGAGACACAGATCCTTTTGGAATTGGAGTCACTAGCCTTGGTCTCCCCTGAAGGGAGAGGTGCTCCTGTTAGCCATCTGCCAAGGGGACAGGCATGGGCAGTGAGGGAGGTGGAGCCTGTGTTGGCAGGACAGAGCACTCCAGGCTGATAACATGGCTAACTTTTCTGATCTGGCCTGTGAAGAGCTTCCTGGCATCCTTAAAGTCATATGCAGGGGCTGGGACTCTCGGGCTGAAGTCAGGCCCCCTGTGAAGATGGGTGAGCTGTACTTGAATCTGGCTTTCACATGGTGTGCTGGCTTATCTCCCTTGGTCATTCCTGTGCTTTTGCCAAGCCCTGTTCAGGTGTTCTGCCTGGTTCTGTGGGGCTAAGGTGAATTCAGGAGGAGGCAGGGGGCAGCATCACCCGTGGTGGCATTGGGGTGACAGGGCTGTCACTGAGGGACATCCAAGAGGAGGAGAATCTCAGGAACTTTAGGTCCTTCTGCTCTGGGGAGTAACAGGAGCAGGGCATCCTGCCGTCAGCATTGCTGGGTGGCTGGCTTAGCTCACTGCTAAGGGCAAGGGAACACATCTTGGGTCTGTGAGGCCCTGCCCCTTTGCTCCTGCAGATTCTCCCTCCACTGTCACTGGAAGCATCTGGGACAGATGCTGTCTGGGGTTCCCCTCACAGAAGCAGCTGTGAGCAGGACCCCAAGGCCACCTTGGAAATAGTCTCATGACTTTAGAGGACTCATCTTTTTTTTTTTTTTTTTTCCTGGAAAACCATGGTCCCTGATTTGATATCCAGTCTCATTCACAACCTTGCACTGTGTCCTCAGGCCAGAGCTTTGGGCCCACTGAGGAAAATCAAAAGAGTGAGCTGTCAGCAATTCCCAAACACACATCTCCAAGAGGAAGTGGGGCAGCAGCGCCACTGGTGTAAGTGTGGGGCTCTCAAGGTGAGTTCTTTGAGAGGGACAGTGGCAGTGTGGGGAAGGGACCTAGTCTAGTAAGTCATGGTCCCAGGGCAGGCATCACCAGGCTCTGTACACATAGGATACACCGAAACAACCAAACCCTGATGCCAGGCCACCCACCAGAGCCCTCCCCACCTGTGGACATGGCTGAGAAGATCAGCCTCGCACCAGGCACCACAGATAGCACCAACGGGCCATATTTTCCAAAAGTGAGGCCTATCTAAAGCTGGCAGCGGGCAGATCTGACCCCACATCAACCCGCCAATCAGTTTTGACTGCAAAAATTGCTGTACAGAGTAGGCATATAACATACGTTTGCTGAAAGGGACAGAGTCTATGAAAGAGGAAAGGTTTATAATGTATTGATTTCAAATTTCAAGTTTTGTAACAGCATAAAATTGCCCCCCTTCCTCAAATGGAAAGGCAAATAGGAGAACATAAAAAGAGGCCCAGCCTTTAGGTCTGACCCAAAAATGACTGAAAGAACCTACAGGCATCTCTGCAGTCTACTGGTCACAGACTTTGCTGTTACACAGAGACTGGGATTCCAGTCCCAGCTCTGCCATTTTCCAGCTGCCCAGGTCAGCTAGCCACTGGGAGATGTGTCGTAAACAAAGCCAACCATGTCTCCCCATCTTTCCAGGGCCTGGCTGTGGCAAGAGTGTATTTAAGGTGCCTAGGACGGCCCCTGGCATGCAGAGCAGGCTTAACAAAGGTGAGTGGCTGCTTCTCCAAATCAAACGAAGGGGCGGCACTCCATCCGGGGAGTGCCATCCATTCAAACTGGGTTCCACGAGTTTACGGCTGGAAGGAGAAGAGGAAGCCAAGCAACCAAGGTGCCTGAGGCGCCCCACTTCCTTCCCAGCCAGAACAGCCCACTCTTACCTGCTCTATGCCATGGGCTTCCACCTAATATTGTATCTGAGAAAATACTGCAGCCCCTAAAAAGGGTTTGAAAGTCACAGCACCAGGTGATGCCTAGCACCCCTGCTAGCCGCAAGCCTGCATGTGTCTGGGATCCATCTGGGTCTCTGTCTCCATCCCCAGCCTCCCTGCCCAACTCTGCTGTCCCCATGGCCTCTGGCCCCGTCCCCCGCACCCGAGGGCTGCCATGCGCACCTGGTGAAGCGGACCTCGCAGATGGTGCACATGTATGGCTTCTCCCCGGTATGGGTCCTCATGTGCCGCGGCAGCTTCCCGGCCCCCATGATGACTTTGTGGCAGATGGGGCACTGCTGAGAGGCCTTGGGCTTCAGCTTGCGCTCTTCCACCAGGGGCCAGGGTGGGAAGAGGCCTCCCAGGTGGGTGGCACTCAGGAAGTTGAGATAGGCACCGTAGTCGTTCTCTGCCTTGATGGGTCCCAGAGGGCCCCCCGGCAGGTCAGGGAACATGTCCTTGAAGAAGTCATTAGGGAAGGGTGGCGGTGGGGGTGGGGGCAGCTCGTCCTTCTCCTCCTCCTTGATCTTTCGATTCTTGATGACCAGATCCAGTGGCCCACTGTCCATGGGCTGCTCAGGCAGCTGGGCAAAGGCACCGAAGTCCCCTGGCCAGAGGTGTGGGAAGAAGTCCGGGGCGAATGGAGACAAGGAGGGTCTCCTGTCGGGGATGTTGGCCTTGGGGTACAGGTTCTCCCTCAGCAGAGATTCGATGGAAAAGTCCCGGATCACCCCCAGATGGCCAGGACTGCCAGCCTGAAAGGAGTCAGGGAAGTCCCTGGGGGTGTCTGAATAGGCCTTCTCTGTGAGATGGTCCGTCTTGGAAGGGCTTTGGTGGCAGCTGATGTCCTGGGGGTCAGGCAAGTTTTCTTGGTCAGCAAAGTCCTCCGTGTCATCATCGTCATCCTCCTCTTCCTCCTCCTCCTCCTCCTCTTCGTCCTCCTCATCATCATCATCTTCGTCATCGTCGTCATCCTCCTTGTCGTCCTCCTCCCCTCCATCCCCCCCAGGCTCCATGATCTCCAGGCACACGTTCACAATGCACTGGATCTCCAGCATCCTGGCTGCATTGAGGATATGCTTGACGTTGCCGGCAGTGATGGTGAGTGTGGAGGTGTAGGCGAACTCCAGGATAGCGGCCAGAGCCTCAGGCTGGACAAAGTCGATCTCGTAGACATAGGGCTGGCTGGCTAGGGTGCCAGCTGTGAAGAGCTTCTTGAAGTACTTGCTGCAGGCAGCCAGGACAGAGCGGTGGGTCCGATACTCCTGCTCCTGCACCACCAGGAGCACGTCGCACAGCAGGCCATCGTGCCGCTGCTCATTGAGGCTGCACAGGACCTCACTGCTGTGGTTGGGGAAGGGAATGCCAATGAGCTCGTCAATGTCATTGGCCATGTTCTCAGCCAGAGCCCTGCAGAGACACACAGAGAAGACTGGGTTAGTGAGCATGGCCCCAGGAGGGGTCTCAGCTCTAGGACTCTGAGCCACCTTCTTGGCATAAGGGCTCCCTTTCCACTGCGAGGCCAGTCCTCCTACCTCTCAGCTTTGCCAAATCTCACCTGCAATTCACAGCCTGGCTTACAAGCTGGGGCTTTTCTCTGGACCCCTAAGACTCTTGGAGTTAGGCTTCTCACTGGGCAGCTGGTGTCAGCTACTCACTAAAGGCTGCAAGGCTTCTCTCAGGCTTGGTTTTACTGATTTCCACTTTGCCAACATGCAGTTGCAGAATACAACTGCAGGATGAAAAGCCACATGAACCCAGCTGTTGCCTTGGCTACAGGAACAGGACCCACCTCTGTGGGGCAAGGACCTCAGTGCTTCTGCTGAGAAGATGCTCTGATTTGTCTCACAAATCCTCTGACTCTGTAACAGACTTACACTTTGCACTGGCCACTAGGAAGCTTAAAACAAATTTCGTGGCCCATTTTCAGCAAGTGAATGGGGGCTCTGTGGTATGTTTTGCTTCCTGACCTTACTCGTTCATTGTAGTTGAAGTTTCCTTCCATTTGTAAATCTTGATCTTTTTTTTTTAAAAAAACACTAACTTCCTATACGTATATATCTGAGAGAGATTTCACCTATATTTAAATTAAATACAAATATAAATGCAATATTCAATATAAATATGCATTCTAGTACATTGTTAGTTAATTTTTCATGTCTATATTCTGTTAGCCTCATGAAAATATCAACCCCTGTGGTGAGAAGCATCTTCTGAGACACCTTATCATTATATATGTTATATGTAAAGTATGGCCAGTGGCAGCCACCAGGAGAAAGCAGGGCATGACAGAGGACGACTGACATCCCTTCCTTTAGGAAGCACAGCTCACAGCCTAGGTGAACATAGTCAACCGGGACAAAATGCGGCATCTGCCAGGGAAGGTAGGGGCATCCAAGGAGAGAAAACATTCATGGGTTGTTAGTTTCTGTTTCTGATTGGGCCAGTAAAGCCCGTTCCTCATCCCTCTTTTCCGCTTATCACTAGAGACAGAAACTAAAAACCATGGCTTCAGGCCGCTAAAAGCCTAAAACAAAACAACAAAACAGAATAACAACAACAATAAAATAAGGTGGGTCGGACAAGCTTGACAGGGCTCTTCCACTTACAGCAAAGCTTCAACATGGCCCATCTAGATAAATCCTAGCAAAGCCCTGGCCCTTATCTTGGTACAAATAAAGTGGGGAGAAAACAAAAAGGAAAACAAATCCTAAAGCCCCACGCCCCAGTGGGAAGAGCTCTGGAGATCCTTACGCATTTATCTTCTGGATGTTTCTGCCCTGGGAAGGCAGAGGCAGTGGGAGGGGAGGAGTGAGAAGTGCCGGCTCATAAAGTGTGAGTGTGACCTGGAGGCACTGGGGAGGTGGCAGGCATGGAGGATGCTGGGTGCCCCTCCCCTGCCCTCACCTTCTCCTCTACCATGGGGCAGCCCAGGTCTTCCCTAAGCAATTTCACAGGCCAGGTGCTCAGGAGGCTTCCCAGAGCTAAGGCCTCACTGCTTTCCTACCTTCTTATCTTTAAAAGGGCTAGAGACCCTGGCAGTCCATGCATTCATTCTCTAAATATTATTGGGTAGTCTCCCTGTGCCAGGCTCTGTACTGGACTCTGGGGATGCACAGAGAACAAATCAAGAAGGCCTCTGCTCTAACAGAGCTTAGAGGGATATAACAACTGTGATAAAAATGTACAGCAAGATTCACCTAACAGAGTATACAGATGCAGATAAGCCATCTTATCTGAAAAGATGTTCAATATCATGAGCAATTAGGGAAATTCAAATTAAAACTATCATAAGATATCACTACATACATAGGATAGTGGCTAAAATAAAAAAATACTGACAACACCAAATGCTGGTGAGGATGTCGAGAAAAGGATCACTTATATATTGCTGGTGGGAAGGTAGAATGGTACAGCTATTCTAGAAAATGATTTGGCAGATCTTAAAAAAACTAAATATGCAACTGCCACATGACCCAGCAATTGAATTCTTGAGCATATACCCCAGAGAAATGAAATCTTATGTCCATAAAAAACTCACACACAAATGTTCATGGCCACTTTATGCATGATAGTGAGTAACTGGAAATAACCTAGACATCCTTCAAAGGTGTATGGCTAAACATTGTGGTACGTCCATGCCATGGAATACTATTCAGCAATAAAAAGGAATCAATTCTCAATATGTGCAACAGCCTTGATGAATCTCCAGGGAGTTATGCTGAGTGAAAAAAGCCAATCCCAATGGGTTAGATATTGCATGATTCCATTTATATAACATTCTTGAGATAATAAAGTTATAGAAATGGAGAATAGATGAGGGTTGCCAGGGACTAAGGAGGTGGTGGTAGTGGTGGGAGGGAAGTGGGTGTGGCTATAAAAGGGCAACAGGAGAGATACTTGTGGTGATGGAAATGCTCTGTGTATTGATTCTATCAGTGTTCATATCCTGGTTGATATTGTACTACGGTTTTGCAAGATGTTACCATTGGCGAAAACTGCATAAAGGGTACGTGAGATGTCTCTGTGTCATCTCTTACAACTGTAGCTGAAATAAGTATCTCAAAAGAAAAAGTTGAAGAAAAGCAAATGACAGGAAACAACCTAAAGCCACTAATCAATCTCTTCGCTTCTCTCCATCTCTCATCCAGCTATCTACCACAGAGCTGTAAGGGAGGAGAGGAGGGGAGCGCTTTACCCAGGGTCAACAGGGAAGGCTTCCTTGAGGAAGTATCATTTGAGCAGAGACCCAGAAGAGGAGAAGGATCCAGCATGGGAGGATGTGGAGAACAGTGTACCAGGCTGTGGGAACAGTGGCACAAAGTGGGCAGCCCCACCAAGGTGCCCTTGGTCTGAAGGGCCAGGTTCTGTTCTGAGTGGCCCCGTTGAACATGGTTCTTGTCTGTTGACAAACCATTCCACTTCTGCATTTCTCTGGGGGCTCAGATGCACCATATCCACCCAGATCCCTTGAGGGCCTGTGTAGAATTAGCTGATGGACACCCCTCCTTCTCTCTGACCAGGGAGGGTGTCCCCAGGCTGAGGCTTCAATGGGCTGTGCTGCAGAGAGAGCTCTGAGGCCACCTCCTACATCCAGAGGAGGAGAGAAGCTCCTAGTGACTTCCTCCTTTCCCTGGCTCCCCACTGTAGTGGTGGGCACCCAAGGGAATGCAGAGGACTTAGGAAACCACGGCTGCCTGCGTGGCTGCAGGCCGGCGGGCTCTTTTGGGGCTGCCATGCCCCAAGGGGGCTGCCTTTGGGCAGCTGGGCTGGGGGCCAGCAAGCTGCCCCTGGAGGCCTGGATCAGAGGGGAGGCTTCAAGTCTGAGCTACATTTAGTTTTGGATGCTCGAGTCAGGTGTGGTATGAGCATCTGTGCAGTGAGCAAGGGGGACCCATCAGATACCTGTCCCACCTCCTTGGCCCCAAGCTCTTTGCTTCAGATACTCAGGACCCATGAAATGAACTGGGAGGATAGGGCAGGCCAAGCCAGCACCTTCTCTCTTCAGGTCAAATCCTCTCCCTAAACAACGGGTTTCCCAAAGAGAAGTCAGGACTGTCATCTGTCCTTAGGCTTACTCAGTCCTCACAATAAAGCATTTAGCTCCTATTGTTATCATCATTCCCATTTTACAGATAAGGAAAATGAAGCCACTAAGAGTTGATGCACAGAGGATGAGTGAGGGCACAGAGACCTGAGCCTGCGTCTGGCTCCTCAGGTCATGCTCCCAACCACAGCCAACTGCAGCTCCTGCCTCTGATCACAAAAGTAACCAAGAAAGGCCAGTAGTCTCTGCTAATGCCTAATGAGTGACCCAGACTGCAGCTTCAGAGGTGCTTAGGGATGACTTTGTGGAGGCGGGAGGGAAGGTTTTGGGTGGCCCTGCCCTCCAGGGACAGCCAAGCAGTCAAGGGCAGGGAGGGCAGACCGGAGCCCTCCAGACAGGCTTGGCCAGCCTCAGGGGATGGAATGTGGAGACCACCCCAGCCCCAGGCTACTGCCTTTCTCATAGGGTTGGGGAGGGTCCTCTCCCTTGCTCGGTCCCCAGAAAGCCTCCACTACTCTGTGTAAGTTTTGGTGGTGGTTTTGGCAAAGCTCTGCCGGGGGTAAGAAGAGAAGGGGAGAGGAGAAGATAGAGCTGTGGCTCAATGAGCCTTTCCCATCCCACTTTCTGAGCACAGCCCAGAGTAGGTGGTCACCTGGATGGCCACAATGCTCCCCTCCAATGTGCCCCAAATGTACCTTTGAAGTCCCTACTCTCCAATCCCCAAACATACACCCTGTTCTCAGCTGCCATGCCTTTGTTCATGCTGAACTTTTGACTGGAGAATACAGCATCTCACACTTCTGGGGGTCCACATCCCATCCACACTTCAAGGTCTCACTTAGACAACCCTTTCCCCATCCCTCAATTCAGAGGCTCCATTTCTCCAGCCTTTGGTCTCCTGATTCTTGTCATTTATTCAACTCTACCTTGAACTGTAATGATTGGTGTCTCTGCTAGATTGTAAGCTGCTCGAGGGCAGATCATATCATTAAATGCTTAGCACAGTCCTGACACAAAGTTGGTGGAAGGTCTATGGCAAGGGCTGTCCTTAGCTGCCATGTTGTGAGGATGCTCAAGCAGCCCTAGGGAGAGGTCCCCAAGGCAGAGGATTGAGGCCTTCTGCCAACAGCCAATGCCAACTCGCTAGTTGAATGGGTGAGCCACCTTGAGAGTGGATCTTTCAGCCCCATTCAGGCCTGACGACAGCAGCCCTGGCTGACATCTTGATTGCAACCTCATGAAAGACACTGAACCAGGACGGCTCAGCTGAGTATCTCCCAAATTCCTGATCCACAGAAACTATGAGGCAATAAATGTTTATTCTCATTTTAAGCTACTACATTTTTGTGTTGTTATGCAGTAG